AGTGGTTGACAGTGGTAGCCAGGCACCATCTGGTTCTTCTGTTCTCATGGTCATATAGGCTGAGTTTTGCATGGTCCACTAATCCCTTAGACTACTTGTTTCTATGTGTCTTTGGTTTCTTCATTTGTGAAGTTTAATTTTTTTCTTAAACTTGTCATGTGTGAGTAAATTGTACTCATGATGGCCAGTTAATTTGGCTTCCATTGTTTGGAGGGTCAGGAAATGGGGTTTCATCAGGACAGGTTGTAGGGGGAGATGATCATTTGAGGGTAAAATGAAGATTACTTACAGACTATACTAGAGAAACAGCTGTATAGTTTTTGAGTGTTAAATGTTTAGAGCCCTGATTAGTGGCTGATTCTCAAATGGTATTTTTGCTCTGATCAGATTCCAGGAGTGTGACTATACCAGATGTCAGTAATCTGTGGTCCATAAACTAAGAATGGTTGTTACACTTTTAAAGGGTTATAAAAGACCGTGTGTGGCCTGCAAAGCCTAATATACTTATTATCTGGCCTTTCATAGAAAAAATTTGCCAAGCCCTGGATCACAATGGACCTGGGAGATGAGGTGCTTAGTCTTTCTCTGGTGTCATACCCAGTCCCCTAGTTCTCCTGGGTGCTCAGTGTCTCTAATGTTAAGGTTGTTCTTAATGAATTTCTGTTTCATTTGCAGGTATATGAGTGACCTAAAGCTGCAAATTGAAACGGAGAGAGAGCAGTGCCAACTGGGAGCAGGGCAAGGATGCCAATTCCTCCTCCCCCTCCACCCCCACCTGGTCCTCCTCCACCTCCCACTTTTAATCAGGTAGGCAGTCCTTCTGCCCTGCTGTCTTAAAACCTTTGAATAAATAGATAATGACCCTCATATGGGTTTGTTGGGGGGTTTTTTAGCCCCTTTGTTAAAAATTCTAGATTTTTTTCTGGCCCGTAGCATTCTTTTTCTGAGCCTGCTCTTTCATCTTCACTTTTTGACATCCCAGGATTTTGGTCCTAGTGTTAATGGATATGTAGGGGTTCCTAGTATAAGATCCAGTGTCTTCAGAGACACATGGTATAGGAAGATGGAGACTAAACAGATAAAATCTCTCATCATCAACGTTCTGATTCCAGAGATGTCTCATTAGGACCATAATGGCTTGTCTTATTTGCCTGTCCTAATTCAGTGTAAATGTAGATTTTGACAGGTGGCATCTGAGTAGGTATTAGTGTTTCTCTCTAAAATATTTGTTCAGTAAAGGTCAGCGTGTCATTTCTCTGGCATTCTTGAGAAAAAGAAGGGGGCTTCCTGGTGGTTGTTTCTTGCAACCATTTCATCTTCTCCTCCTCTTCTCCAAATCAGTTCATTTTAAAGTCAGGTCCATCAAATCTGACAACCCCTTCAAGAAAGAAAGAGTTTGTGGAATATATTAGTAAGAATTCTTAAAAGTTTCATAATGAGAGGGAAAAAGCAGTGTGGTTTCTGAACCCTGTCTGGGTTGTGATACCTGGTGTTACATGAGGAAGAAGGACCTGGTGTGTTTTACCTAATTTTTGTAAAATTTTAGAAATAAAAGAAGCTTTAGAAAACCCATAGCCCAGGGAAGTTGTGTGTGTTTGTGTGTGTGTGTGTGTGTGTGCTTAACAAATAAGAAATTATGCCCTAAAGAAGAAACGTGACTTGCTAATTTGTTTAAGAGCTGGGCCTAGAGTTCAGGTCTGCCAATTTCTGGTCCATTGTTTTTTTCCATAATCTCTAGTTTACTTACATTTTGTTTAAGCATTCAGCCCCTTTTTTAGATAAAATTTTATGTGGAAGCCCAACAAATGGCATAGGTGAAAGTAGAGCTTCTTTGGTTATAGTGGGATTCGAGGACCCAGAGTATCTCCTTGAATTTCTAAGTGGATTATTGCCCTGTATCATGCTGTCTTAATCATTCACTCAGTAGCCTTTTACTGGGGACTGTAAAATGGTTGGAGTAATAGCATAAGGAACTGTCTAACTTCAGGAGGGTTAATGACTAAGATCAGTCCAAAGCTGATTCCCATGATGTGGAGGTCAGGCAAACGTCCACTCTCCAACTTTTTTTCCTGACACCAGCCATCCCTACCACGGCACTCTCTACTTTTCTTCTGGGTACAATAATTCGTTGTAATGATAAATAACTCACAGGTCATAATTATAGTTAAATGGTTTACTAAGAAAGTAATGGTAAAACTTGGGATCAGGATCAATAGGCTACAGCTTGGGATCAGGATGTATGTAGGCAAAGTCACTTTCAGTGAAAGATGACTCACTGCTGTGGAGTCACATCTGACTCATAGCGACCCCTCCTTGGGTTTCTGAGGTAGTATCACTATGGAAGTAGATTGCCCCATCTTCCTTTCAAGGAATGGCTGGTGGGTTTGAACCGCCAGCCTTCTGGTTAGCAGTCAAGTGCCTTAGACACTACACCACCAGAGCTTCTCAGTGCAAGATAGCTCTGTCAGTTTCTCTTGATCATGCAGGCCTCCTCTCGGCCCTTGTTAACAAGTTCCTCTTGGCCCCCTCAGGACAGACCTCCTCTCAGCCACCTCAGGACAGATTTCTCTTGGCCCTGCCTTCTGTCACCACTGAATTCTGCTGCACGGCCCCTTCTAAGCCTGTCATCACCTTCTCTGCTGCTGGGCTCCTTCTAGGCCTTTTGCTGTCTTCAGTGTTAAAGCCCTTGACCTGTGTTACTGCTCTTTTAGGTTCCTTGGGTCTTCTCTCTTCTCTCTCGTCTTTTCTCTTTTCTGTTCTTCATGATCCCTGTCTGAGAAACCTCTGGGGTTGGCTGCATATATATATGCGCTCCTTGTCAAATTTAAGGAATGGGCCTCGGCCAGAGCCACAACTGAATTGACCATCCCCTCTTGGTAGGCCACAGATAGTTCATTTGCATAGTAGGCTACACTCCATATGTATAGTAGGCTTGTAGTAACTTCACTTGCATAGTCTATAGTCACTTCACTTGCTTAGTCAATTGTGCAATCCTTGCAAGGTGCATACCAATCACAGGGCAGGCTGCAGCCTAGGACCAGATAAAAAGTATCAAATTACAAGTTGTTTATAGTTTACTTAGGAAATATCTATCAACCTGGACAAAAATAACAAACCTTCTGGGGTAGAAAACTAGGGCAAAAATAACTCTTTAGGGTTCAGGAGCTGTTTTTCTAAAGAACTTAGGCAAAAGGCACATAAAGAAACTCATTACTGTGTGTCAGAGACTCCGGTACACAGTTTAGAAAATCCAGATGATTTTATTCTATACTTGTGTTGTTGTTGTTGTTGTTATGTGCCGTCGAGTCGGCCCCGACTCATAGCGACCCCTCCTTGGGTTTCTGAGGCAGTATCACTGCAGAAGTAGGATTGCCCAACCTTCCTTCTGAGGAGTGGCTGGTGGGTTTGAATCTCCAGTCTTCTGGTTAGCAGTAAAGTGCCTTAGACACTATGCTACCAGAGCTCCTATACTTGTGTGTTACTTCACTCTTTTACAACAAGAAAATATTTATATAACTAAAAGGAAAAAGGGAATAAATACACAGATAAGCAAAAAGAAGCAAATAAAAATCATTTGTAATCCCATTATCCAGAGATGACACACAGTCTTTGCCTCCAAGGGCTCCCAGCATGAGTGAGACAGACAAGTCAGTAGGCCAGTTCAGTGCTATGCTGCAGATCAATGGGGCCACAAATAAGGATACCTGGCTTAGTGGTTAGAGGGAGGAGGCAGTCAAAGAAGGCTTCTAGGGGGAAGGTGATAGTTGAGCTGAGTCCATTTTTTTTTTTTTTTATGACAATTTTTAGATTTTATTTTATTGTGATTTCGGTCAAAGCTTACAGAGCAAATTGGTTTTCCATTCAGCTGTTCATATATATTGTGTTTTGTGACATTCATTGCAATCTCCACAATGTAACAGCATTCTTCACACTTCCTCCCTTTCTACTATTTCCCTTTGTCCTTCTTTCCTATTCCTTCCTGCCTTCTGAGCTTTATCTCTGGGAAAATGCTGCTGTTTTGATCTTGTATGGTTGATTGTTCTAAGGAGTGCATACTTCTCTAGTATTGTTGTTCACCTTACAGGCCTATCTATTGTTTGGCCGAAAGTTGAGCCACAGGAGTTCAGTTCCCAACTTGAAGGGTATCTAAGGGCTGTAATCTCAGGGCTCCACCAGTCTCTATGAGATCAGTAGGCCTGGTTTTCATTATGATTCTGAGTTTTGTTTTGTTCCACATACTTCTCCTACTCTACCTGGTACCTACTGTGATCCCTTTCAGAGCAGTCAGCAGTGGTAGGTGTGCATCATGTAGTTCTTCTGGTCTCAGAGTTGTGGAGCCTGGGGTTCATGTGGTCCTTGAATCCTTTGGACTAATGGTTTCCTTCTGTCTTTGATTTTCTTCACTCTTCTAGTTGTGCCTTATATGACTGTTTAACAAGCTTTTAAGTTGCTAGTCACCAAAGTAGGATATAGAACATTGTCTTTGCGGATTTGAGCCGAGTCTTTTAAAGGATGAGTAGAGTTTAACCATAAAGAATAGAGGGATGAAGGGCTCTTGAAGTCCAGGATGCAGAATGTGGTAGGGTCCTGATTTGTGAGAAAGCAGACCAGGGCTTAGCTTATTGCTTGAGGGGATATGGTGAGAGAGAAAGCTGAAAATGTGTCTGAGGGTTTGGATTTTTGTTCCTGGTGATGATGGGAAGGTGTTTGAAGTATTTTCAGCAGCAGCAAGAGTGACTTGATTGCATTTGTATTAGAAAGATCGCTCAACAGTATGGACAGTGGATTGGGTGTTGCAGATAAAAATTGAGGGTCTGGACTAGCGCAATGAGGATGAAGAGTGGAGGATGAATTTAAGAGATATTTAGAAAGTAAACTTAAAGAGTTTGGTGGGTGAAAAAGAGGAAGGAGATTTGAATGACTGTGGTTTAGGGACTTGATTTAAATGAGGATATGCAAGTCATGTGCTTAGCACAATATTGAGACATCGTAGGGGCTCAATAACTGTTTGCCTCAATGATGATGATACGTATGAAGCATCTAACATTATGACTAACATGTAGGTACTCAATAAGAGTTAGCATAGGCCCTCTGGCATAAGTGTCTGCATAGGAGGGAGACCCACACTCTTCACAGAAGGCGGAACAGGAGGAAAAAAACTAAGAAGAATGATAATTGTTTCAAATGTATATTTGATTGGATTAGACAGGCAGAATGCTGGGGGAGAATACGTCATTCTTCTCATGGAACCTAATTTAACTGAAGTAGTTTATCCCGAGTTTTTGATGGAAGAGGACTATTTAGGGTGAACTTACATTTTCCTATTCCTCCAGGCAAGCACAGTACAGCCCAAGCTGAACAGAGATGAGCAGCGGGGTCGAGGTGCCCTCTTACAGGACATTTGCAAAGGGACCAAGCTGAAGAAAGTGACCAACATTAATGATCGGAGTGCTCCTATCCTTGAGAGTGAGTCTAAGCTTCATTTTCTAGTCTTGAACCACCAGGATCCCAGGATTGACTTGGAGACTTGGCTGGTCTGTCATTGTTAAATACCGAGTGGGAGAGTTTTGTCCCGGGGTATCCTTTGGCTCTCTTTCCATTTGCTCATTTAAATATCTTAGAAGTTTCTTCTCGATCTTTGGGAAGCATTCTCAAGGTTAAGACTCTCATCTCCTATTGTAATTAGTGCTTGTTAGGGGCACATCCTTGACTGTTTTCTAAGGAGACCCCACATTCCTGGAAATCTCTCAGCTGAAGCGAAGGGTGGTTTTATAATTGCTATAAGTCTCTATTCCTGTAGGCCTCTGTAGGGTTTGCTCACACCTGGGTCTTTGAGCCATTAGCCACTTAACATCTAGGACTTGGGAAGGAAGCCCAGAGAGCTCTACTGAATGAACATTTGTTTATTCCAGTTATCCCTATGCCCTAATTAAGGCTCTTTATTCCTTTTGTTCTTTCTCTTTCCTCTAGCTAAGTTTCATCTCCACATGAAGCTGTGGAAAGAGAGGCCTAGCTTTTTCTAACGGGAAAGTGCAAATAAGATTGGTTTGTTTGCACGTTAAAGCACAGATAGAGAAGGGGCTTCCCTTCAGGATTGATTCAGTGACCAGTTCAGAGCATATGAAATGAAAACCCTAATGATATGCTTTCCAGAGCCCAAAGGAAGCAGTGGTGGTTATGGCTCTGGAGCAGCTGCCCTGCAGCCCAAGGGAGGTCTCTTCCAAGGAGGAGTGCCGAAGCTCAGACCTGTGGGAGCCAAGGACATTTCAGGTACCAGAGCACTTTCTTAAATAATTCCAAGTGCATTATATTTTTTTTCCCCAAGCAATATATATTTTTGTCCTTTTTGTTTTTATTGTGGTAAATACATGTGTAACAAAACATTTGCCATGTTAACATATTTTACATATACAATTCAGAGACATTAATTACGTTCATCATGTTGTTCAGCTGTCACCACTACTATTTGCAAATTTTTCCATCACCCTTAACCGAAGCTCAGTGTCCCCTAAGCAAGTGTCTTAATTTCTGATTGGTTCCAGGGGGGCCATCTGGCATTGAGGAGCAGGGTAGAGGTGGGAAAGAGGAATGGGAGCAGAGGAAGAATTGTAGAATAACGCAAAAGCTGAGGAATTAAATAAAAATGTATTTAACATATGTAAGTAATATTTGTCAATGAGCCCTGACCCTGACACTGGATTAAAACCCAGAACTATACAAGAGCTTTCCTTGCTACCATGTAGTCTGTACTAAGAAGGATGGGTGAAGTAGACATACTAACCAGTGCTAACCTAGCTCTGTTGACCCTGTTCTGTCTGGTGTATTTCTAGAGAACCTAGCTGGTAAGCCAGCCCTACAAATCCCCAGTTCTCGAGCTGCTGCCCCAAGGCCTCCAGTGTCTACAGCCAGCAGCCGCCCTCAAGATGATACGGACAGCAGCCGAGCCTCGCTCCCAGAACTGCCCAGGACGCAGAGACCCTCTTTACCGGACCTCTCTCGGCCTAATACCACCAGCAGTACCGGCATGAAGCACAGCTCCTCTGCCCCTCCTCCGCCACCCCCAGGGCGGCGTGCCAACGCACCCCCCACACCTCTGCCTCTGCACAGCAGCAAAACCCCAGCCTACAACAGAGAGAAACCTTTGCCACCAACACCTGGACAAAGGCTTCACCCTGGTCGAGATGGACCTCCTGCTCCACCCCCAGTCAAGCCACCTCCTTCCCCTGTGACTATCAGAACAGGACCAAGTGGCCAGTCTCTGGCTCCTCCACCACCGCCTTACCGCCAGCCTCCTGGGGTCCCTAATGGACCCTCCAGTCCCACTAATGAGTCAGCTCCTGAGTTGCCACAGAGACACAATTCTTTGCATAGGAAGACTCCGGGGCCTGTCAGAGGCCTGGCACCTCCTCCACCCACCTCAGCCTCCCCCTCTCTACAGAGTAATAGGCCACCTCCCCCAGCCCGAGACCCTCCCAGTCGAGGAGCAGGTAAGTGCCTAGAAGCACTTTTTCCCCTTATTATACTGAAAGTTGAGTTTATCTTTTCCCTCACTCTTTTCTCAAAGTTCCTTTTCAGTGATGGAAAAGAATAAGAAGTCATTACTTTGCTCATCAGGTTTATCGAGTGTCTTATATGTCAAGTTCTGTTATAGGTGTTAGGGAAATACCAATAAATAAAAAAGACAAATTCCTGTTTTTCTGGACAAGCAAACTAGTAAAATATATAAATCCATAGTGTATGTAGTATGCTTTAGAGAAAAACAGTACAGAGAAAGAAATAGGATTTCCTGAGGTGGGGAGGCAGTGATATTTTAAATTGAGCTTGGGTTTAGGGTTAGGGAAGGCCTTACTGATAAGGTGACAGATTAGTGGAGACCAGAAGAAAGTGATAGAGTGAACTAAGCGGCTATCTGAGCAAATAGTTACTATCGAACGTTGGGAACAGAAGATGCGAAGGCACTGGGGCAGGCATATTCTTGACATATTCTAGGGACAGTATGCAGGCCATTGTGGCAGGAGTAGAATGAGTAAAGGCAGAGTGGCAGCCATAGGGGGCCTCCGTGGGAGAACCTTGCAGGACTTTGTAAAGACTTTGGCTTTTATTCTAGATGAGATGGGAAGCCACTGGGGAGTTCTGAGAGGAGGAGTGTCATTAGATTTACCTTGTAAAAATGTCACTATCTCCTGTATGAAAACAGACTATAGGAGGACAAGTGTGGCCAAAGGAAACTTGAGAGGTTTCTGCAGTAAACCAGGCAGATGGGTAAGACTACAGTAGATTTGGAGGAAGATAGATGAGTTAGTTTGAGACGTTTAAGAAGAGATAATGAATTGGCAGTTGGCTACTGAACTCTGAAGTTCAGGGGAAAGTGCTGGTCTGGAGAGATAAATTTGAGTGGTGTTGAAAGCTACCATGTGCTGAATGAGATCACCTGGGCAGTGACTGGGCAGAGAAGAAGCCTGAAGTCTGTGAATGTCTGCGTTAGAGGTAAGAGAGATTGAGAAGCACCTAGCTGAGGAAACTGAGAAGGAGCCTCCAGGGAGGACAGAGGAGGAAAACCAAGAGTGTCCTTGGAAGGTAGTGAAGAAAGGTTTTTAGGGAAGATGGAGTGATCACCTATGTCCAGTGCTCCAAGGTCATGGAAGTTGAAAGTTGGGAATTGACATTGATCTTAGCAACATGGGAGTCATTTTTGGGATCCCCAAGTAAGACAGGACCTTTTTGAGTAATTTCAGTGAAGTGGTGGATGGTGAAGGTGAAAGCCCAGTTGGAGTGGGTTCAAGCTGGGATAGGAGGAGAATTGAAAATAACTATGTAGAAATCTCTTGTTTTACTCCAAAGGGAGATAGATACATGGAGTTGTTCTAGGCGAGGATGTGTGGGATTAAGGGTCTCCTGCCTCCACCTGCCTCCCTACCCCCACCTCTGTGTGCTGATGGAGTAATCTAGTGGAGAGGAAGAAAATTCAGGAGAGAAGAAGAAACAAATTAATTGAGTAATGTCCTTGAGCAGGGAAGAGGAGATGGGATCTGATCCATAGGTAAGGAATTGGCCTAAGACAGGAACACAGATAGTTCTCCCATGGTAACAGGAGGGAAGACAATGTAGAGGCATAGAAGCTAGTGTGTTGGTGGGTGCAGTGGTAGTGACTTGTGGAAAGCATCTTCTAATTTGCTTCTTTTCTGTCAGTGAAATAGAACGCAAGGCCATCAGCCGAGAATGAGGTGAGGTGGGGAGATCTGAGAAGAGAGTTGTGAAATGGTCATCTGGAAGAGGGAGAGGAGATGAGTAGATGTGCTAGGGAAATGTGGCAGGTTGCCAGCAGTGCTAAAAACCTGCTTGAGATTAGGGGCCACATGTCTACAGTGAGATTAACCAACATGGTATGTGTTCAGCTGTGTCTTTGTAGATGCAGAGTTATATTTAACTAGGGTTAGCATATTTTAGGCATGTGGGACCAAGGGGTGGGGGGAAGGGAGTGAAGGGTGTTTGCAAGGGAGTGATTGTAATGACAGGTCCTGGAACCTACACAGGTTAAAGATGGAGTGAAGGATGTGAACTTCTTCCAAGGAACCCTAGAAAAGGTAAAAAAAATTGTGTAATCTTTCTAAAAATAGCTTGACTAAAATTAGAGAGTGAAAGAGACCATTACTGCTCTCTGGGGCCTTCTTACCCATTGCCATCCAGTCAATTCCAACTCATGGCGATCCCCTTTGGGTTTCTAAGGTGGTAGATCTCTGTGGAAATAGATTGCCCAGTCTTTCTTGCATGGAGTGTCTGGTGGGTTTGAATGCCAACCTTCTGGTTAGCAGTGAAATGCCTTAGGCACCATGCCACCAGAGCTCCTTTGATGCTTGCTTAGACCCAGGAGTTTTGGCTCCCTTACTCTTATGTCTTGGGAGCTCTGGTAGCATAGTGCCTAAGGCACTTGACTGCTAACCAGAAGGCTGGCTGTTCAAACCCACCAGCCACTCCTCGGAAGGAAGATGGGGCAATCTACTTCCATAGTGATACTGCCTCGGAAACCCAAGGAGGGGTCGCTATGAGTCAGGCCTGACTCGACAGCACATAAAAACAACAACTCTTATGTCTTTGGTCTTTGAGTCACACTCTCCATTAATGGCTTTGGAACTTTTGAATAATCAGCCCCTGCAAGTGTAGAGCAGTGGTGAAGAGATCATGTCATCTAGAAGCCATAAATGCCCTTTAACCTAGGCTACTTGGATATGTACTGTTTTGGTTACCTCGTGCCACTCTGACAAGAATATACAACAGATGGGATGGCTTGAACAAACAGGAATTTATTCTCTTAGAGTTTGGAGGCTTTAAGTCTGAGTTTCAAGTGCCAGGCTCTAGGGGTTAGGTGAAAGCCCCTCAACCTTGGGATTCAGCTCTGCCTCTTGCTCCCGGCCCACTGAAGCTGAAGGTTTTTCTTCAGTCAGATAGCTGCTGGCTGCTGAGACTGACGAGCCCAAGGCTGACAAGTAAAAGGGCACAGTCCCAATATTACCAAACCACACGGCTGGCCATTCATTCAAGTCTATTGAAAGTCCCAAGGTTGGCAGAGCATGGCAGGCTACTGAGCGATGACAAGGCTACCTGCGGGGTTCAAGCATGCCATAAGCTAGAGACTATTCCCAAAAAGCTATTTCTTATATATGGGAAGCAGACCACATACCCACAGCAGCTACTCAGTTGCTCCAGTAGATTCCCCCATGGAGTTAATTACCAGTCTCACCATGGGGAATAACTCCATTCAGCTGCCCAGCCACTCAAGCAGGCCCAGCCAAATTGACACACAAACATAACCACCACAGGTACTTAACAGATTTGTACTCTAGGAGCTGGCAGTCTGATACAGGGTAGTCAAGCAAACAGTAGCCTGATACATTCCTTATCCATCTCCCTAGCTCTAGACCTAAGGCTATAATTCTTAAAAAAAAAAAGAACACAATGCTGTTGATTACAACTCATAGCAATAATACAGGACAGAGTAGAACTGCTCCATAGGGTTTCCAAGGCTGTAACCTTTATAGAAACAGACTGCCACATCTTTTTCCTGCAGAACAGCTGGTGAGTTTGAACCACTGACCTTTCAGTTAGCCAAGCTCTTTAACCACTGTACCACCAGGGCTTCTTTGTAGTTCTATAGTGGCCCTTAGTTCTACAAAGTTCAGTTTTTAATTTTTTTTTCTTTTAATGTAGAAATTTTTTACAAAATTATAATTTATTGTTGAAACAGCTGAGAACATCCCATCCCATGCTTTTCACATGATTTTATAAAGACTGTTTTGAATGAGGGTGGCATTTTTCACATGAAAACAAACACATTTATTCCACACAGGGAAAAGAAACAGTTGAAGAGAATTGAATGCACAGGGAACACATTTGAATGACATTACGTACCTATAAAGGGCAGATAGTAAATTATTCCAACTTTGCTGCCTATGCAACTATATTCGACCCTTTAACATAAGGATTTTTTAAAAGACCCATTATCTGAGCAGAGCTCATGTCTTTTCCTACCCCATCCAGGAATAAATGTAGAGAAAAAAGAGATTTCTGTGGGCTGAGCTGAGCATCTTTAAATGTCTGCAGACTTCTTACAGACTTCTCGGTCCTTTCTCTATCATTTCTTTAGAAAATTTTGAAGTTATGAGCCTTGTTTTTCTTTCCGTTAACCATCATCAACTTTGAAACCTGCCAGGGGCCTCAGTGTGCTTGCTGTCTGTATAAGTAACTAGAGAAGTGATGTTTAAAGGGTCATATACTGGGAAAAAGTGAGGTGTTTCAGTAGGATGTCTTCTGAGTATTGGCTGGTGTATGTTGAATGATCTTGGGCAGATCACTTTGGTTCTCTGAGTTTGTTTCTCCAACTGTAGAACTTTCAGAGGTGGTTATAAAATTAAAAATAGATATGAAAATGTTTTTTAAACTGTGATGTGCTGGTAAATGTTAGTGGTTTTTTGCAAAGGGTAGTTCATGGACTTATCTCTGTTATTGACTCATAGCATGACAATGTTATGTAACAATGTACTACTGCTTCTATATGAGTTATTTACATTTGAAAGGGCGTGGAGTTATCTGCCTTCTCAGCCTTCTCAGAGATCAAAAAACCTGTGTATTGGAGTTTAAATTGACTCCACAGCAACTGGTTTACTGGTACTACAATTCCAGGTTCTGAAAATTTAAGTTTTCACTCTGATGGTTTCAGTTTCATATCTGTAAAATGAGGATACAAATAACTATCTCAAAATGTTGTGCCGGTTAAATTTAAAAAATACATGAAAAAAAACACCACGTATTGTATGTAGAGTTTGTTTCCTGAATTGTTCCTTTGCAGAGTGAAAAACTACCCATTTTAAAAGGATTTTTTTTTCTTTTTGGAAGACTTGATGCCATCATATTTTCCTCAAAATCAGGGTTATCTTGGATTCAAAAAGGTTATCTCCCACCTCAGGGCTTCTTTTCTAAACTGGTTGTTTCT